TAAGCCCCATATCGGGCTCCATGCTCAGCATGGAGTCTGCTGGAGATTCTTTTCCCCTCCTTTTCCCTCCGCCTTTGCTCCTTCCCCTGCACTCTCTCTCTCTCTCTCTCAAATAAATAATTAAAAACAATGAAAAACATTCCATTTGAATTCATCTGAAAATTCCATAATTACACAAAAAGGAATCTGCAAATTATGTTAAAACTGAGCAAAATCCTCCCAGTCTGGCAGCAATAACTCGAGCAGAACAGAATTTGGGGGATCCTTACAACTCTATTGTATACATGGCAACCTGTGCTATAGAGTAGAAGAGGGATATTGTCTGAAACTACTCTGATGAGCAGTGGGCTCACCCACTCCAGATCTACGAAGTCAAAGGAGATAACCTAAGTAACATGATTTTGAGTTTTCTTGAAAAGAAAAAGACAATGATATTTTAAATGGCCAAGTAAAGAAGTTACGGGCATAATCAAAATGTACAGTTTCTAAGCTTCTAGGCAAACCAGAGTCCAGATGCCTAGGAGAGAAGCAAGTTAGATATTAGTAACTGAAATTATTCTAAATTTTTTTAATGCAAACAATTTGTCAAATAAAATGAAAACAGTCTGGATATGCATAGCTTCCAATCTCTTGAGGAAACCAGGCAGAAAAAGCCAGGAAGACTTTCCCAGAAATAAATCAAAGCTTTACCAATGACATTCACTACTGAAATGTGGGACAGAGTATAAGGCCAAAGAAGAGGAAGAGCTGTAAAATGGTTTCTGTCATAAGCCAGAATTATTGTAAATAGATTTGACATTTGGAATTTAAAGACTATTACAGAAACATATGGCTTAAAATATCACATTCTATTCAAGGGTCCTAAAGTTTGAAATAAAGAAGTTAAATGCTCTGGGCAACACAAAATACTTCTGTAGGTGGCCTAAAGGAATGAGGTTTGATCATACTAATTCCTTCCAGTTCCACAAGCCACCACACCTCTATTGCGTACCATTGGGCAGAGGTTGCAGTAATTCCAACTGGTTGTCAGTTATCTACCCATCCCAAAAGTCGCTGAAAGCCTGACATGATTATTAGAAAAATAAGAAAGAACAGTCCTGAGGTGTATAAAAGAGAAAATGTTATAAACAAAAGACTAATCCAGATTTTAGAGCAGTGAAACTACTCTGTATGACACAATTATAGTGTATACATGTCATTACATATTTGTCAAAACACAAAGAACGTACAATACCAAGAACGAACCCTAATGTAAACTATGGACTTTGGGTGATAACGTGTCAATGTAGGTTCATTGATTGTAACAAATGAACCACTCTGGTAGGGGATGTCCACAGTGAGGGAGGCTATGCATGTGGGGATAGGGGATATATGGGAACTGTCTGTACTCTCTGCTCAACGTTTTTGTTGTGAACTTAAACTGCTCTAAAAATTAGTCTTAAAAAAAAAAAAGAAAGAAAGAAAAAGAAAACTAGACCATGGGTGATTGAAGGACCCATATAGTCCAGAGACAATGTCTTAAAGAAACCAAACTCTACAGCTTCATTCAGCTACCTCCTAGTTTACTCCATTATGTCAAAATAGTCACTGAATATTTCCACCTGCCTACTCCTCCTACTCCATATGTTGTTTTCACTGAGTTGCCTACTTTTGACAACATATTATGTGTGTCCAATCCAAAAGGAAATATTCACTGAATAATGATTTTTTACCAAAATCAATTATTGAAAGTTTTAATTGCATATTTAAAAGTGATTAGTGTTTACCCTACAAAAATTGGTTTATAATTAGTTCCCTTTTGTAATAAAGATTAGCACAGCAAGCAGTAATTAGCATTATGGCAGAAGCTCAAAGCTGTGTGATGGATACATATATGAAGGATTATTATATTATCTACTTTCTATCTGTTTGAAATTCTCCTTAATATAAAGGTTTTTTTAAAGGATCAACTATAAAGTATATACCTGCTTAATGTACCAATAACTATACATAAGTTAACTTGATTACTATGAGATTATGTTATTATCATCATAGGAAAATATTTTATATTCTATATCACCATCATCTGAAAATATAGCATAGTATTTAAGAATATGAATTTGGAAATCAGATCGTCTCAAGCTGCATTCCATCTATTCCACTTCTTAGCTTTTGTAACCTTGGAAAAGTTATTTATTCTACTTAAGCTCCAATCTCCCCACCAGGTAATGGGAGTAATCTTACTATAAGGACATTGCAGAATTAAATGACATAAAATGTGTAAAGTCAGCATAGCATTGGTCTAATAATAGATATTATTAGACATTATAACATTCTGAAGTTCTCTACTGATACTGCTCTAACCCTAAAAGAAGCAGTAAAGGTAAGTAAGAGTTTTACTCTGGGGGCACCTGGGTGGCTCAGCTGGTTAAGCATCTGCCTTTGGCTCAGGTCATGATCCCAGGGTCCTGGGATTGAGCCCCACATCGGGCTCCTTGCTCAGCAGGAGCCTGCTTCTCCCTCTCCTTCTGTCTGCTGCTCCCCCTGCTTGTACTCTCTCTCTGTCAAATAAATAAAAACAAAATCTTCAAAAAAAAAATATTTTAAGGAGTTTTACCTGTAGGTGGAGAGAAAGATTTCAAAGACTCACAATTCAGAGTTTAAGAAACTATTCCCTATTTTAGTGTATTTCTAAGTTAAATATTTAGAAATTACAAGGAATTTACAAAAATAGAAGGAATTATATAATCTTATCATGGCATTTTAGACCTAATTAAATAATCTAAAGAAAGTTGTATCATTGAATTAATCAGTCAGTTTTCAGTAATGCTCTGCTCCAAACCCCTCTGGCAAGGAAGCTAATGGCTTTCTTGTTTTGCAGTGCCCTGTGCATTTCTGCTCAGATCCAGCTTGGGTGTGGGTGTGGATGGGAGAAGCCCCAGGCAAAAATGCCAGACTCCCACTGTTCTTATTTGACATTCAGTATTTTTTTCATACAAAATTGCTTCTCAATTTGTCGTATGTCTTTGGTCAATTCAAAAGCCCTGAAATGGTTGTTTTCGACAATTTTGTCCAGTTTTATTGTTATGTAATGCCTTATCAGAAAACATGATCAGAGTATATGATGTTTTATCACAGAAAGTTAATAGTAGGGCATATTCTAAATGTCTAACTGGTAGCCATTATTATTAGCATTTTGTTTTGTGGATTACAACAAATATATACAAAATAAATGCTCCCCTAATCTCAATAAATAGTGGCCCTTTTCTATATAATGTTTAAATGCTTCCAATCTAAAATTTATATGAAGGGCCTTTTCTACATAGCATTTCTATATAATATTTCTATATAATGTTTATATGTTTATGCTATGTGTTTCTATATAATGTTTACATGTTTCTATATAATGTTACATGTTCATTAAACCTCAATAAAATATTGGTTCTTTTCTATACAATGTTTATATTCCCTAATAGTTAAATTATTCAAGTTCCTTAAGACACAAGAATTCTGAAATCCGGTAATAAACAATAATTCATTATTCTGAAACTCTTTCATCTCAAAACAAGTCCTTTTTGATGATTAGAATTTTTTTTTAAAAGCAGGATTCTAGAAATGTACTTTTAGTGAGAATGAAGGATGGTTGGAGAAGATAAAAAAATCCCCTATGAACATAATTATAAGAAACCAGGTTGAGACTACAAAAATAAATATATTCAACTACAGAACCCAGACTTATCAAAAATATTTGTGGTCTGCTAGACAATAGTGTTATAAAGGAACTCATTGGAATTAAGTGTAAACCTGTTTCTACACATTCAGCGTGCACTAACCTGTACCTCAGCCAATCCTTTTATTTCTGTGCCATTATCTGTCCTGATCACAGTCACTAATCACAAGATGAGCCCACAGAATATGTAAGGCTGTTTTACTTAATGGATCACACATACTCAACCTCATTCATTTTGAATATCTGACATAGTTTTAACCTACAGCTTTTTTTTTTTAATTATGGGAAATAATTTTGTTAGAACCTGAGCACAATTAGCTGAAAGGCAACTGGAAGATGTATTAAGTGTGATAATATGTTATAAACTGTTACCATGTAATTTTTCTGATCCTTTGAATAAAGTATCATAATTCACACGAATGTGTTCTCATAATAATATGCCAACAAACTGGATGAGCTTATTAAGAAAGAAAGTAACAGCCTGCAAGGAAAAGTCCAAAGAGAGTATACAATTCCTTACTATTGTGGAAGGAAATGAAGAAAGATGTCAAAATTTCAACATCTTCAGAGGAACCAAAAAAAAAAGGTAATAGTTTTTAAGGCTTAAATTGCACCCTCCATTCTCAATATAGTAAAATTGGCATTTAAAAGATCTCTTTTTCAAATAAACATATTTCAAATTTCAAAATAAGAGAACAGATGCTAAGCAATCAAAAGAAAATGTTTTCTTGAAGAAAAAAAATCCAGCACATTGCAATGAGGCCCTCTGCTGCCATTTTTTAATACTACACCAAAGAAGACTAATTTCCAGGCGTGTCTGTCTTTGCAGGGCCAATACTTCAACAAAGCTTTAAGGAAAAAATGACTTAAATCCTTCAACAAAATGTAGTCATTTACAAGATTTTTTAAAATCAAAGTGATTGATTCTGGGTAATGTTATTCTGAACACAGTGTCTGAGCCACATAAACTTCAGTTAAATCCCTTAGTGACAGCATTATTCATTTAAGAACAGATTTTCATTATTTATGTTCTATGTAAGTATTTCCAAAAGGAGACTATATTCATACCAAATGGTTTCTACAATGACAATAGTTCATCCAATACTATGGAAAAAATATTTTTAATTAGAAAGAAACTTGTGTCTCAAAAAGCCATTCCTAATAAATATCTCCACTTCCTGGGAAAAAAGTAATAAGCAGTCCGGAAAAATAACTCAAAAACTCATCTGAGACTAAACCCAATGCAATTTGACCATCATTTTTAAATTGCCAAGGCCAGAGGTGGACTTACTGGGAAGTGAATAAAACCTCACATGCAGGGTCTCTGGAGTGCTGGGAGTGGCCAGGAGCTGTGAAGTATTCTAGGTGAAAAGGAGAAACCAGGTGTCAATAAGGAAGCTTTTTAATGTAAGCATTTTTGGTAAATTGCCTCAAGACAACTTAGAAAAAAAGGGATTTGAACCTCCAAGTTCAAGTAACTTGTCATGATTCTTTTCCTATGTTTAATATGTCATTTTTTTAATGTTTATGGTTTTTTTTCTTCTTTTTTTCTTTTTTTTTGTAGTTTTAAATTTTATTATATTATGTTAGTCACCATACAATACATCATTAGTTTTTGATGTAGTGATCCACGATCCATTGTTTTCGTATAACACCCAGTGCTCCATGCAGTACATGTCCTCCTTAATACCCATCACCGGGCTAACCAATCCCCCCTCCCCCCTCCCCTCTAGAACCCTCAGTTTGTTTCTCAGGTCCATAGTCTCCCATGGTTCATCTCTCCCTCCAGTTCCCCCCCCCCCATTTTTCCCTTCCTTCTCCTAATGTCCTCCAAGTTATTCCTTATGTTCCACAAATAAGTGAAACCATATGATAATTGACTTTCTCTGCTTGACTTATTTCGCTTAGCATAATCTACCCCAGTCCCATCCATGTTGATGTAAAATTTGGGTATTCATCTTTTCTGATGGCTGAATAATATTCCATTGTATATATGGACCACATCTTCTTTATCCATTCATCTGTTGAAGGGCATCTCGGCTCTTACCACAGTTTGGCTATTGCCAACATTGCTGCTATGAACATTGGGGTGCATGTGGCCCTTCTTTTCACTACATCTGTGTCTTTGGGGTAAATACCCAGTAGTGCAATTGCTGGGTCATAGGGTAGCTCTATTTTTAAATTTTTGAGGAACCTCCACACTGTTTTCCAAAGTGGCTGTACAAACTTGCATTCCCACCAACAGTGTAAGAGGGTTCCCCTTTCTCCACAACCCCTCCAACATTTGTTGTTTCTTTCCCTGTCCATTTTGGCCATTCTCACTGGTGTAAGGTGGTATCTCAGTGTGCTTTTGATTTGGATTTCCCTGATGGCTAATGATGATGAACATTTTTTCATGTGTCTGTTAGCCATTTGTATGTCTTCTTCAGAGAAGTGTCTGTTCATTTCTTCTGCCCACTTTTTGACTTGATTGTTTTTTGGGTGTTGAATTTGAGAAGTTCTTTATAGATTTTGGATACCAGCCCTTTATCTGTAGTGTCATTTGCAACTATCTTCTCCCATTCTGTGGGCTGCCTCTTTGTTTTGTTGACTGTTTCCTTTGCTGTGCAGAAGCTTTTTATCTTGATGAAGTCCCAAAAGTTCATTTTTGCTTTTGTTTCACTAGCTTTTGGAGATGTATCTTGAAAGAAGTTGCTGTGGCCGATGTCAAAGAGGTTACTGCCTATGTTCTCCTCTAGGATTTTGATGGATTCCTGTCTCACATTGAGATCTTTCATCCACTTTGAGTTTATCTTTGTGTATGATGTTAGAGAATGGTCGAGTTTCATTCTTCTGCATGTGGCTGTCCAATTTTCCCAGCACCATTTATTGAAGAGACTGTCTTTTTTCCATTGCATGTTTTTCCTGCTTTGTCAAAGATTATTTGACCATAGAGTTGAGGGTCCATATCTGGATTCTCTATTCTGTTCCATTGGTCTGTATGTCTGTTTTTGTGCCAGTACCATGCTGTCTTGGTGATCACTGATTTGTAATATAGCTTGAAATCAGGCAACGTGATGCCCCCAGCTTTGTTTTTCTTTTTCAACATCTCCTTGGCGATTCGGGGTCTCTTCTGATTCCATACAAATTTTAGGATTGTTTGTTCCAGCACTTTGAAAAATGTCATTGGAATTTTGATCGGGATGGCATTGAAGGTATAGATTGCTCTGGGTAGCATAGACATTTTAACAATGTTTATTCTTCCGATCCATGAGCATGGGATATTTTTCCATCTTTTTGTGTCTTCTTCAATTTCTTTCATGAGTGTTTTGTAGTTCCTAGAGTATAGATCCTTTACCTCTTTGGTTAGGTTTATTCCGAGATATCTTATGGTTTTTGGTGCTATTGTAAATGGAATCGTTTCTTTAACTTCTCTTTCTACAGTTGCGTTGTTAATGTATAAGAAAGCAACTGATTTCCGTGCATTGATTTTGTATCCTGCCACATTACTGAATTGCTGGATGAGTTCTAGTAATTTGGGGGTGGAGTCTTTTGGGTTTTCCACATAAAGTGTCATGTCATCTGTGAAGAGAGGGAGTTTGACTTCTTTGCCAATTTGAATACCTTTTATTTCTTTTTGTTGTCTGATTGCTGTTGCTAGGACTTCTAGTACTATGTTGAACAACAGTGGTGAGAGTGGGCACCCTTGACGTGTTCCTGATCTTAAGGGAAAGGCTCTCAGCTTTTCCCCATTGAGGATGATATTCGCTGTGGGTTTTTCATAGATGGATTTTATGAACTTGAGGAATGTTCCCTCTATCCCTATACTCTGGAGAGTTTTAATCAGGAAAGTATGTTGTATTTTGTCAAATGTTTTTTCTGCATCAATTGAGAGGACCATATGGTTCTTCTCCCTCCTCTTATTAATGTGTTCTATCACATTGATTGATTTGCAAATGTTGAACCACCGTTGCATCCCGGGGATAAATCCCACTTGGTCGTGGTGGATGATCCTTTTAATGTATTGTTGGATCCTATTAGCTCGGATTTTGTTGAGGATTTTGGAATCCATATTCATCAGGGATATCGGTCTGAAATTCTCCTTTTTGATGGGGTCTTTGCCTGGTTTGGGGATTAAGGTAATGCTGGCCTCATAGAATGAGTTTGGAAGTTTTCCTTCTGTTTCTATTTTTTCAAACAGCTTCAGTAGAATAGGTATTATTTCTTCTTTGAATGTTTGGTAGAATTCCCCAGGGAATCCATCGGGCCCTGGACTCTTGTTTTTTGGGAGGTTTTTGATCACTGCTTCAATCTTGTTACTGGTTATTGGCCTATTCAGGTTGTCAATTTCTTCCTGTTTCAGTCTTGGCAGCTTATAGGTTTCCAGGAAGGCCTCCATTTCATCCAGATTGCCCAGTTTATTGGCATATAGTTGTTGATAATAATATCTAATAATTGTTTCTATTTCCTTGGTGTTAGTCATGATCTCTCCCCTTTCATTCATAATTTTATTAATTTGGGTCCTTTCTCTCTTCTTTTGGATAAGTCTGGCCAGTGGTTTATCAATCTTATTAATTCTTTCAAAGAACCAACTTCTAGTTTCGTTGATCTGATCTACTGTGTTTCTGGTTTCTAATTCATTGATTTCTGCTCTAATTTTAATTATTTCTCTTCTAATGCGTGGCTTAGGCATCGTTTGTTGCTTTTTCTCTAGTTCTTTAAGGTGTAGAGTTAGTTGGTGAATTTGGGATTTTTCTATTTTTTTGAGTGAGGCTTGGATGGCTATGTATTTCCACCTTAGGACCGCCTTTGCAGTATCCCACAGGTTTTGGACCGATGTGTTTTCATTCTCATTGATTTCCATGAATTGTTTAAGTTCTTCTTTGATTTCTTGGTTGACCCAAACATTCTTGAGCAGAGTGGTCTTTAGCTTCCAAGTGTTTAAATTTCTGCCAAATTTTTTCTTGTGATTGAGTTCCAGTTTTAGAGCATTGTGGTCTGAGGATATGCAGGGAATAATCTCAATCTTTTGGTATCAGTTGAGACCTGATTTGTGACCCCGTATATGGTCTATTCTGGACAAAGTTCCATGTGCGCTCGAGAAGAATGAGTATTCTGTTGTTTTAGGGTGGAATGTTCTGTAAATATCTATAAGGTCCATCTGGTCCTATGTATCATTCAAAGCTTTTGTTTCCTTGTTGATTTTCTGCTTAGATGATCTGTCCATTGCTGAGAGTGGAGTATTGAGGTCTCCTACAATTAACGTATTGTTATCAATATGGCTCTTTATTTTGGTTAACAGTTGGCTTATGTAGATGGCTGCTCCCATGTTGGGGGCATAGATATTTACAATTGTTAGATCTTCTTGTTGGATAGACCCTTTAAGAATGATATAGTGTCCTTCTGTGTCTCTAATTACAGACTTTAGTTTAAAATCTAATTTGTTTGATATAAGAATTGCTACCCCAGCTTTCTTTTGAGGTCCGCTGGCATGGAAGATAGATCTCCATCCCTTCACTTTCAGTCTGGATGTATCTTTAGGTTCAAAATGAGTCTCTTGTAGACAGCATATGGATGGGTCCTGTCTTTTTATCCAATCTGCAACCCTGTGCCGTTTTATGGGAGCGTTTAGGCCATTCACGTTGAGAGTGATTATTGAAAGATATGAATTAATTGTCATCATGTTGCCTGTGAAGACGTTGTTTTTATAGATTGTCCCTGTAAATTTCTGTTGTAGATTACTCTTGGGGTCTTTCTCCTTTTATAGAACCCCCCTTAATATTTCTTGCAGGGCCAGCTTAGTGGTCACATATTCTTTCAACTTCTGCCGGTCGTGGAAGCTCTGCATCTCTCCATCCATTCTAAATGAAAGCCTTGCTGGATAAAGTATTCTTGGCTGCATGTTCTTCTCATTTAGTACTCTGAATATGTCTTGCCAGGCCTTTCTGGCTTGCTAGGTCTCTGTGGATAGGTCTGACATTATTCTGATGTTCCTCCCTCTGTACATAAGGAATCTCTTCCCCCTAACTGCCCTTAAGATGGTTTCCTTGGTTCTAAGATTTGCAAGCTTTACTATTACATGCCAAGGTGTTGGCCTGTTTTCCTTGATCTTAGGAGGGGTCCTCTCTGCCTCTAGGACTCGAATGTTTGTTTCATTCCCCAGATTAGGGAAGTTCTCAGCTATGATTTGCTCAAATACATCTTCTAGCCCTCTCTCTCCACACCCTCTGGGATTCCAATTATTCTGACATTGGAACACTTCGTGGTGTCACTTATTTCTCTGATTCTATTTTCATGGATTCTGAGTTGTTTTTCCCTGGCCTCCTCTTTTCCCTTTTTATCTATTATACTGTCTTCCAGATCGCTTACTCTCTCTTCTGTCTCAGTTACCCTAGCTGTTAGATTATCTAGATTGGATTGGATCTCATTGATAGCATTTTTAAGTTCTGCCAATTCACCTTTTATTTCTGCCCTTAGAGACTCTATGTTGCCATTAATTGATTTCTCCATTCTAGCCATTGTCTTCACAATTGCTAGCCTGAATTCCATCTCTGACATCTTGGTTATGTCTGCATCCATTTGTAAATCTGCAGCATAAGTCATAATCTCTGAGTCTTTTCTGTTTGGGGGGCTCCTCCTCCTAGTCATTCTTTTGATGGGTGTTTGAGGGAATGTAGAGTCAAAATTATTGACCAGAACCCAAGCAAGATGCACCTGTTTTCTTGGGACCTTAGGGTTGCTGGCCTCTTGTTTTCCCAGCCTGTCTTCTGCGGGAAGGGCCTGCTGCGCTGTTACTCAGGAAACCCTGTTTGGGCAGAGTTGCCCTGCGCCCCTGTGGTGGGGGATGGGCTCAGTGGGAATCAGTCTTTGGGGCTTTTGTTCTCTGGCGCCTTTCCCTGGCAGCTTTCCGTGTCTCTTCTGCGAGTCAGAGCAGAAGAAACTGTTTCCAACCCCCTGCCTCAGAGCAGAGAGACCTCAGTCTGTTCTTCAGTGAGCTCTCCAGGCCACACTGTCTCCGTTTCTGTCCGTGCTGCTATAAACTACAGCGTCCTGGGTTGTGCGCCCCTCCGCAGCGCTCCCAGTCCTGCCTCCAGGTCGGGGCACGTCTCTGCCCTTTGTGCTTCTAAAACCACCAGCCGTTCCCAATTAGCATGGGTCCGTGACTCCGCCACTTGGGGTTTCCACCCCTGGGGGTTGTAGTTCACCGGCACGACCCCAGAGCACCAGGTTTCCATCTCGGAGGCTGCAGTTTGCGTGCGCACGATCGTCGCTCCGGTTTCTGTCTGGGGGGCTGCAGTTCGCGTGCGCTCAACCCCGCCGGTCTGGTTTTCCACCCCGGGGGCTGCCCTAAAATCCTTTCCCAACGCTACCGGTCTGCGAGTCTGTGCCCCGTCCACAGCGCCCGAGGCTGTCACTCACCAGTGGTGTAGGATCCCCACATCCAGGCACCCTCCCGCCTTCGTTTATCCTCCGATATCTGCCCGCAGGATCACAGCTCTCCGCTTCGTACCTCAAAACCAACTGCCTGCGATATTGTTTGTAGAGATCCGGATCTTCTTACATCTCAGGCTGGTTTCGTGGGTGCTCAGAGTGGTCTGGTAGTTAGTTATCCAGCTCAATTCCGAGGACCAATTGAAATAGGGTCCCCTACTCCTCCGCCATCTTTCCCCTCCTCTCCTCTTCTTTTTTTCTTAAAGATGGCCAGAAAAAAAAAAAGTGTAAGCTCACAACCCACAAAACCTGAATTTGCTTCTGGGTAGTATAATTTACTCAAAACAGTCCATAAAGAAAATGTTATTTTACATTTAACGGGAACAACTTATATTAATAGGAAAAAATGGTTTTAAAGGCAATTTTGAAAACAAGACTAAATAGGAGCTTAAAAAGGCACTGGTAAAAATATACAGTTTTTAAGGAAAAGAAAGAAGATTAATATCTGCCCAACAGTGAAGCTATCTAGCATTCAAAAATCTCTAGCTTTTGGTATCTATGTAGTGGTTAAGAGTACTGGCTATGGAATCAGGCAATCCTTGATTTCAATCCTGAATTCATCACTCTATAGCTAAGTCACCTTTAGCAAATTAATTGTGCCTTATAAATTTAGGCATTTAATAACCATCTGTTGAATAAATAGATGCATGCATCAACTCCACATGAAAACTTCAATTTAGCAAATACAGTAGTTCAGTTTACTGCCATTTAAAAGAAGAATGACTTGTTGCACAGATATCTGTTAGGGGAAAAATACTGGGCAAAAGGGGAAGAAGGAATACCAGAGTTCAAGCAAAGCATTTTTTGAAGATTTCTATTTGTATTTGATGAGATGGGAAAAGGCTTCCTGGAGCACGCCTTGGAAGATTGTTAGGATCCGACCTGGTTGACTGGGAAGGTGGAGCAGGCTGGAAGTATTTCAGGCTGAGGGAACAATACACTAAGCCAAGACCCAGAGACAAGAAAGTGGAGAGATCTAAGTATTCTGGGAAGTTAGCAGCCCTGTTAGCTTGAGGTTTAGAGAATTCAGGGGAGACTGGGCTGAAAACAAACCAGGGTCACATCACCACTTCAGTTAATAATGCTCCTTGTTCTGAGCATGCTCACAAAATTCTTTATCAGTGAAAGTCCACACAACCACTGTTATAAATTACATTTGGCTTCCTTTCATAGACAACGTCTTTAACTGATACAAAGAAATATGGCATTCAGGATAAATGTTTTTATTAAACTATAATTTTTTCAGTTCCAGATTTGAAAAGGTATTTTATTTTTTAGTTCACACTTTCATCCAAAACTGGACTATCTGTAACTTTTAAATACCAACTTCTCTCACACAGAAATCATCTGAATTTCAAAGGCTGATGTTAAAGCCATTCATTGGAAGATTGGAAGAGAAGGAAGCATAATGGACATTCGGTTAACTACATAAATTTTCTAGTAGGTTATTAGGAGGAAAACCATTCTCAAGGCAAATGTCATCAACAAAGATAAATGGATAAATGAAAGAAATGCCATTCTTGTTGGTATAGTACAAAAAGTAATGATGTTGGGTCAAACTTGTGTTTCAAATTGGCCTTGACCACTTGTCAGTACTGTGATCTTGGGCAATTCATCTAACTTCTCTATGCCTTAGTTTCTACTTCTGTAAAATAAGGACAATCACAATAATAAAATTTGCCTGTGGTATACTATGTTACTATCTGTCCATGGGAGGAGTATACATTTTCACACACACTGTCTTTGGACCTGGACATACAGCATGTTTTGTCCAATATAATGTGAAACTCGTCCCAACTTTTGCCTTTAGAATAACACACCCATAAGGAGGCTGCCCTTTCAGCCTGGATTCTAGAACGAAGAGGACACATACTGTTCTACATCTTCCATAAAATGTAAATGACTAATAAACTTTAATGTTGTAAGCCACTGAGATTTGGGAGTTGTTACTGTTGCAAAGCCAATTAATACACTGCACTACCCACCTCATGCATTTGTTATAAAGACTAAATAAAACAATATATTTTGAAACACTGTATAACCTTCTACGCCCTCCCATACCTTATACTCACTCCTTCTCTTACCTAGGTTGATGCAGATTAGAAAATTTAGGAACATTAACTTGCAATGTGTTCAGCTCCTATCCCATCTCCTTACCATACCTCATAAAATGAAATGATCTTGGGTTCTTTGTTATTTGTGATGTGGATTACCATGAGAATATTAAAGGGGGGATATATCCATAAAATGATACAGCTTTTCGTGTTAGTGCTTATCCCAATTCTTCTGATAAAGTGCTCAGAACCACTTAGGTCTGGTTTCTCTCTGTATTTTCATTAAATCTTACTTAAATCTTTGTGTAGCCAGAGTTTTACCAGAGCTTCTATGTGGAATCCTGTTTATACTTAAAGGATTCCATGGGTGGGGGGGGGGGGGATTGAAAAAGGATAGCTTTTAAAAAAAAAGACATTTCAATTTAACTAACAGAAAAACAAAAACAAAAAAACTTGATAAAACTCAATAAAGAAATGACTACAGAGATGGCAGAGAAAAAGCCTATGAGATGGTACCATGATTCACAATAAACCGTGTAGAGACAATGGCTAGGGAAGCGGGTGAGCCAATGATTGGGCCAGAAAACAAGAATATTTTTATTATTCAAACCCTTGGGACTCTCATTTTTGCATAATGAAGTTGAAAGAAGATGAGCTTCAAGTTACACAAGCCTAGGCAGCTTCAACCTTGGTACAGCTACAATCTCTACACAACCTTAGATCAGCTACATAATTTCATACGTACTTTCCTTACCAGTAAAGGGAAAAAACAGTTATTTTCCCTTACCCAGTTAGGAGGAATAAACAGCTACCTCACAGCATTGTGGTATTAAAGGGAATAAGGTGAGCAGAGCATCTACCATAGTACTTGAACAATAATAGCTTCTCAAACCTTCTCTCTTAGCTCTTTGCCATTAACTCCTCTTTTTTCCATTTTCTGAACCAATCTTCAGCAACACATGTGTAAATGCTTTTGCTCCCAGGTTGGGAATCTCCTATAGAGTAATAAAAGAAACTGTAATCTAACACATAAAGACAGAAGACATTTTATGCTTTAAAGCTAAGAGGTTTTTTTAAATATGCACGGATTTATATGTAGTTTTTTTCTCTTAATATAGTTACAGCTTTAATTGGTCATAAAACACAAGCACACATACACACACACATATACACACATCTGAAATATGTAGAAATAAAATGACACCTTTTCCAAATAAAGTTGCATCATCAGTTCTGTATTTCTCTGACTTCCAACTTTGAAACCCCTAGGAATTGTAAAAGAGAAAGCAAGACACTCACCCATCAAGAGGTCATACTGAGTGATTCCAAGGAACATTAGAAAACCTGTACTGAATCCAAATTTTTAACTGCCAGATTTTTAACTCCTGGCTACAGTTCCCATGTATGATATAATTTAGAAACTTACTTTAGGCACAGGATAATCACAGGACTTAAAACACTGTGTCCCTCAACACAAAATATTAATGGAAAATCCAGACAAGTCATAAATTGTTATAAAGAAATGAAAAAACAAAAAGAAATTTGCAAATGGCAGGGAGATCTTTATAAACTAAAGGGGGAAAAGAAGGAAGGATGGCTCCTTTATTAATGCATAGTTGAGTGGAACATCCAAAGTCCTTCACACCTTTCTCTTCTTTGAGCATCTTCTATACCAAGGATTCCCTAGGTCCATTATGAGATCTACTAGAAGGATAGAGCAGCCAAGTATGGTACTACTTTTCCAGTCAGAGATGAATCACAAAAATTCAGAAACCTACGTTTTTCACCCCAGTCTAGCAGTACCAGCATCACTACCCACAGCCCTTGCATACATACAGACTTGTTCATATGCATCTTTTATTTTTTTAAAGATTTTATTTATTTGACAGAGACAGACACAGCGAGAGAGGGAACACAAGCAGGGGGAGTGGGAGAGGGAGAAGCAGGCTTCCCGCAGAGCAGGGAGCCCGATGCAGGACTCGATCCCAGGACCCTGGGATCGTGACCTGAGCCGAAGGCAGACGCTTAATGACTGAGCCACCCAGGCACCCCTTCATATGCATCTTGATAAAAAAGTTCTCAAGTCTTCCCACTGCATTTCTTTGAACTCATTTGTTCATTGGTTTGAGATTCGACTCAGAAATTCTAGATAAATAAATCTCATCTTTACCTCTAAAATCCCATAGTCAATCTGTTATCCCTATTATAGAAAGAGAGGAGTAATACAACACAGGAAAAATTATCAAATCATACAAACCAATTTTCTTCTACCCCTACTAACAGCTAACCTTAAACATGTTCTGATACATAAACACCCAACTGGAAATGGCTGTTATTACTTCTTGCCTGGGGCTATCATGCCAGAATTAAATAGTGGAGAGATTAGGCCACAGTCACATTTCAGTATAGTTCATTCATACATTTATTTATTAAGCACCTACACCTACTACATTCCAAATAATGTTTTAGTTTCTGAGGTCATATCAGTGAACAAATAGATAAAAACTCCTACTATCATGGAATCTATACTGTGGTAGATGCAAATAAATAAAAGAAATAAGTAAATTAAATTATTTAGAAGATGATAATTGTTGTGATGAAAAATAACACATGAATGTAAGGTAGAGCCAACAAGAGCAGAGAATGGGAGAGAAAGAGGCAAGTCAAAAATGACTTCTTAATGTTTGGGCTGAACAACTAGGAGGAAGTTACCATAACCTGAGATGAGGAAGGTCTTGGCAGGGCCTATTTGGGGCCAGTCAAGATCAAGAGTTTGGTTTTGCATGTATTAAGTCTGAGATGCCTACAAGACACAGATATCTAAAAGGAAATGCTTATGGGGAGGCCTAAAAGACAGCAGTCATATTCAGTGGACTCCTCTATAATTATTTGGTTTTATCTACTTCCAAGAAGTCCTTTGATGGTCTCCTTTGTCCTTCAGCCCACCCTAAATACTTCCCCCTTTCCCCACTTTTAGGAGATTGAGATAGCACAGATACTTCAATATTTCTTCCATGCTTTGCTTAGGTAACTATTCAGCAACACTGAAAGCTAAAACATGGTAAGGGGCAAACAGAAAAATCTTACAGACTGAGTTATCCTGGAAATAACTTGGAATTTTAAAATCACATGCAAAAACTCTCTT